AACGTCGCCTTGCTTCTCGGCTGATGAGTCCTTCGATGCTTCCTGGCTACCAGCCTCTTTCACTAAGCTATCACGAGACGGGAGATAGAGGTCATCTTAATCCTTCGGTGGGGATACAAGACAGCTGTAAGGCCGCTCTCATCTCCGTGGACGGGGAAAGCACTCGTAATTTGTGCAAATACACCAACATCATGAACCTCGTCTATGTTGTCAATGACGTCCTTATCCGCTGCTTCATCCTTGAACAAGAAAGCTCCCACGTAGGGTTGCCCTCGCTTCATCATCTCTTGTATGGCAGCCACAACGTTCGGATCTTTGATCGTGATGGCCTTATAAAATCCGGGAAACAGAGGTCGTCGAGCAATCGGGATCGCCATCACTTGAGGATATACATCCGGTATAGTTGGCTTCTGGAGAGCCTTTTCAGAAGAGCCCTTTCTTCCTCTCCTTCCTCCATCACTGCCTCCGCTACCCGAGCTACCGCCAGCTCCAGCTCCCTGGCTTGGTCTCGAGTCCGACTTGCCTTCTGAAGGCGGGATTGGGCTCGGTTCATCTGACTTATTCTTCCCTTCTGTCGGTTCTTCCGGCTTAATCTTCTCTTCGCGCTCAGTTTCCGCCTCGTCTTTCTTCGGTTGCGGTGGAGAAGGCTTCTCTTTTCGCCGGGCTGGAGTCGAGGAGAGGCCGCGCGATAGTTGTAGCCGGGAAGCTTGAATATCTGAATGCGAGAATGCGATCTGTCTGAACTGAGGATTGTAGGCCCTGTATCGGATATCCTGGGAGCTCCGGCGAAGGGCTGCTCTCAATGGAAGGCTGATGCCCCGAAACATCCTCTCAGCAACGTCGTCTAAGCGAAAGAAGAGAAAGAGACCGAGCTGTTAACGAACGATGGCCAAATTAAATAAAATACAAGCAGTAATAAACAACACTCCGCACAGCCCGTCAAAGACCGCCAATTCCCCAAGCTGACGAGAAAAAAGTGAACAAGATAGAAGCAAGACCAAAATGCTCGAGATTTGCCCGGTAGGTTGGCCTCGTTTTTGTCTGATTAGTCATCAAAGCTGGAGAAAATATTTTGCCGAAGTCCCGAGAAACTTTTTTTTTTCCATTTCTTGAACCTTCGAAGGGAAGACGAAGACGACGAAGACGACGAAGAAAACGCAGAAGACGCAGGAACAGCTTCTCTTCTCAGTGGTATATACAATTGATATAGCTGATCTCTCTTATAAATCGCTTCTCTATGAGTGTCCCTGCTCCTGGGCTGCCGCTTGCAGCCTCAGTTCCCTGCCGTTTGCTGCGGACATCGCGCCCATACAGAAGTCAATGTCTGGACATCAACCGTCATGTACAGTCACGACCCTACCAGACGGATTCCAAGGTGCGGAGTAACCAGAGGCCTGCTATTAGATCGAAGAATACGCAGACATTGAACCAATCGACAAGAGTAAGCTAGTGTTATTCCACAAAGTGAAAGGGGAAACCGAGCTGACAAAGTTCTATAGAAATTTCATGCGACGGCTCCCGCTTCAGCAGCGAAAAACCCTTACAGCGTTCTGGGAGTTGGGAAGGATGCATCGGCCTCAGAAATTAAACGAGCATACTATGGGCTGGCAAAGAAGTTCCACCCCGATACAAACAAAGATCCCGGCGCCAAAGACAAATTTGCCGAAGCCCAAACCGCCTACGAGACATTATCTGATCCTGAGAAGAAAAAGGCCTATGATACGTACGGGTCTGCTGCATTCGATCAGAATGGCGGGTTCAACCCTGGCGCTGCTAGTGGTGGGCCATTTGGAGGGGCGGGAGGCTTCCATGGCTTTGGCGGTTTCGGAAGCGGTGGCGGCTTTGGAGGAGGTTTCACTGCGGATATAAATTTCGACGACATCTTTGGTGCCTTTGCTAAAGCTACTGGCCGCAACCCACGCGGGCACGGATCACCTTTCTCCAGCGTTGCGGTTGGAGACGACATCGAGGTTCAGGCGAATATCTCGTTCATGGAGTCAGCCAAGGGAACGACCAAGGAAATTAACATCACACCGTTGGTTACATGCAATTCGTGCAAGGGAGAAGGATTGAAAGATGGTAAGAAACGATCACGCTGTAGCACTTGTGGAGGCACTGGTGCGCAGATCCATGTCATCCAGGGCTTCCAGATGCAGAGCACATGTGGAGCGTGCAATGGAACCGGGTCCTCGATACCCAGGGGGTCTGAATGCAACACATGTAGCGGAGGAGGTGTTGTTCGAGAACGAAGAACCGTCAAAGTTGATATTCCCGGTGGTGTCGAGGATGGGATGAGGCTGCGGGTTAATGGCGAAGGCGATGCCCCGATGGCAGAACCAGGAACCCGAACGCAGCGAGGAAACCTCTATGTCTTCATCAGGGTTGCCGCTGACCGCAGATTCAACCGTTCCGGGTCGGATGTACTATACACTGCCGCCATACCTCTCACAACCGCCCTACTTGGAGGCGAAGTCACGGTGCCGACGCTGGACGGGGAAGCTAAAGTTAGAGTTGGCACCGGAACGGGAACTGGTGATAAGATTACCTTGCCTGGGATGGGTATGCGGAAGCTTGGTGGGCGGAGAGCAGGTAATGGTGACTTGAAGGTAGAATTCAAGGTCACCATGCCGAGATCATTGACTCCCAACCAGCGAACAATCCTTGAAGTACTTGCAGACGAGATGGGAGACAAGACTGCGAAACGAATTATGAATGTCAACGACATGAAGCCTGATGGGTAAGAAAGCCAGCTATGTGCGCCTCTGTCATTCAAACCAAGCTAACGTGTTTCTCAGCTCTTCGAACAAGGCTTCTACCGACAAGACAGATAACGCACAAAAGGGCCAGGGGTTCATCAAGTCCGCCTGGGACAAGCTGATGAACCATCGCAACCCATGTTCCTCCAGCTCAAGCAAAGGGTCCTCAAACTCTGCTGATAAAAAGGGGCCCGAGACACAGTCGGATCAGCACAAGGAGTCCGACCAGCCTAATGAGTCCAAAAAGGCATCAGGATCTGGCTAATTGATAGACGACTGCGTTACCGTCTGCAGCCCTTTTGTCCGATTTGATTTTGCATCTCTTTCTCATACATAGCGTTGGGCGAGGTGTACCTTTTTGCATAAACCGATTTTAACTCCTTTTCTTTCTTTCCTGTACATTATGTTTTCTATATAAACACCCCCCGACCTCCCTATAACAAAACTCATTTGAACGAGTATCTTACAAGTGACTCCGCCGGCTTGTTTCTCGTCTTTCTGTTTTTTGCACTCTTCACTCTTCATTCTCGATGGACGTTACTCTTTCATCTTGTTGTCACCCTCGACTACTACTTAGATCTCACTTTACACCTTACGGCCTATGCTTTCCCTTGAAGACTCTCTAGCCTCTCAATCCACAAAGTGGTCTGTCTTCTGGGCTATTGAGGGGCAATCAGAATCCGGGGAGTGCCGGCTGTGGTGCAGACTAGGCGCAAGTATGGTGAGTGTCATCTTTCGTCATGACTATGTGGGATGTAACTAACACGTCTCCTCAGATTTTACTGCGTCTACCATCTTCAATGGAAGAAGACCTTGACCTCTACGGTCGAGCTGACGAATTTGACTTGCCCACAGGCCTTATCCAGAAAGCCGTGAGAAGACGGATGCATCCCCTGGGCTAGTCCGGACATCACCACGCCAGAAGCCTCTTAAAATGAGAGAAGCATCACTTTGGATATACTTATTCACACGTCTGGCTACCGTCTCATAGCCGCTGAGACAGCGAGTAACTAGCAGCCGTCGATCCATGCTCTGGCCAGGCCTGAGATCCTCGGCCAGCATTATAACCCTCTAGACACAGCGGGCAAACTAACTGTGGGATCACCAACAAGCACCGATTCTACGACTATGGCTTCTTGCTGGACCGTCAGCATCCTTGACAGCGAGGAAGTTCGTCTGCTGTTGAGTTCTTCGAGGAGCGAGATGATGTATGTATCTATGTTTCCAACCACTTTTCACCATGTATTTCACCGGGGAGTCTAGTCCTTTCTGGAGAGGACATGGAATATGCTGTATGATAGTGATAGCTCTTATCCCATCTCCCCTCGTCCGCTGTGTGCCTGTTCTTCCTCCAGACAAGTATAATATATCAATGTAACTGCATCTATATGTACTCCGTCCATCTAGGCTTTCTGATGCTCTGCCAGGCTGAAACAGCCCTCCAGCCAATCTGTGACGGCAGCGCAGCATCTCAGGCCTACCGAGCGGATGCCATACTTTCAGCAGCAAGGATCCCGCTGTGATAGTGGCGCCAGTAGAGTGTGAAGGCCAGGATCTCTCGAGAGTCGCGATGGAGACTCCAGAGCAGTCGCAGCAGCGGTCCGCTGGCGATAACCAGTCCCGCCTGCGCATCATGCGAGTGGCATCAGTAGCATCCTGAGATCCCGCCAGGCCATCCAGCAGCAGAAGAGAGAAGAAGAAGAAAAAGAAACGAGCCGAAGTTCTTCAGGCAGCTCGATTCTTCGTTGCCGCCGTCTCCATGATAGGCTCGCCGGTCGATGTGCATCCATCCTTCTTGCAACTTCTTCCATGCACCATCGCCATCATCGCCCTCACACATATAACTAGTTAACTCTCTGACTGACTGACTGACGCCGGCAAGGTCGCTACCAGCACACCGTCTGCATCGCTCTTCCGCCAGGACGCCCGCCAGCCCATCACACAGGCATCACGACCCGCCAGCGCATGCCCGCCCGCCGCTGACCAGACCCAGGCCCTTGGTTATTAGTTATCGCTTCGGTGACGACACCAGCTAGTTAACTAGTTAGTGACATCGCTCCCCCACATCCTCCGCCGAGGGCGCCCGCACTACGAGCCCAACGCAGCCAGCAGAGAACCCCGTCGCATCGTCGTGCACGATACTCGAGCTGCTCGACAATTGCCGCGGTGCATAGGCTTCGTCTAGGAGCAGGTCTGTCGTCCGCTGGGGGGAGAGAGTGCTGCCTCCTGCGGCCGCCAAATCCGCCACGATGGTGCAGTCTCCCATGATATCGTGTCCTCTCAAGCAAACGGCCGAGATAGACTGGATCGCTCCGCTCAAGGGATATATCCGGCAGACCTACGGTGATGACCCGGATCGGTATTCGGAGGAGTGCGCGACTTTGAACAGGCTGCGGCAGGACATGAGAGGCGCCGGCAAGGACAGCGCTTCTGGGAGAGACCTGCTCTACCGGTACTACGGGCAGCTAGAGCTGCTGGATCTCCGTTTTCCCGTTGACGAGAATCATATCAAGATATCATTTACCTGGTATGGCTTCCTTGGTTTTTTGATTTTTTTTTTTTTTTTTTTTTTTTTTTTTTTTTTTTTTTTTTTTTTTTTTGGACTACATTATTTTCATTTCTACCAAGACCTGTATATGGCTGACCGGGCGTTGAATTGCAATCTAGGTACGATGCTTTCACACACAAGGCAACCTCGCAGTACTCCCTGGCGTACGAGAAAGCCTCTATCATATTCAACATCTCCGCCGTCCTATCCTGCCATGCTGTCAACCAAAACCGTGCCGAGGACACGGGGCTCAAGACCGCATACCACTCATTCCAGGCCTCTGCTGGCATGTTCACCTACATCAATGACAACTTCCTGCATGCTCCTTCGACCGATCTGAGCCGGGATACGGTTAAGACGATGATATCCATCACCCTTGCTCAGGCACAGGAAGTATTTCTAGAGAAACAGATCGCTGATGGGAAGAAGCCGGGCTTCCTAGCCAAACTAGCCAGCCATGCTGCTCATCTGTTCACCCAGGCTGCCGAGGGTGTGCAGGAAAACGTTACCAAAGGCATATTTGAGAAAGTATGGTGGATTTTGACTTCTGCAAAGGCATCACATATGTCCTCCCTAGCTTGCTACTACCAGGCCATGGCTGACGAGGAGGGTGGAATGCACGGAGTGGCCATTGCACGGCTACAAATAGCTGAGAAGGCTTCAACGGCCGCAATCAACATGGCAAAGTCGTTCCCGTCATCCGTACCCTCTGGCTCTAATCTTACCTCTGAAAACGGAATGGTGCTGTTGGACATGGTACGACGACAGCTGGCTACCGTTCAGGAAAAACTGCCTTCAATGAGGAAAGATAACGATTTCATCTATCACCAGCAAGTTCCAGCGGAAGCATCAGTCTCCCCTGTTGCGAAGCTCCCCGCTGCAAAGGCTATACCCGTTAGTGAACTGTACCAAGGCCAGGATATCCAGCGGATAATTGGACCGGACATATTCCAGCGAATAGTACCAATGTCCGTTACTGAGTCCGCAAGTTTGTACGACGAAGAGAAGGCTAAGCTTGTCCGGGCCGAGACAGAAAAGGTTGAAGCAGCCAACGGAGAAATGGCTGCCAGTCTAGACTACTTGAAACTACCTGGTAGCTTAAATATACTCAAGGGGGGGCTGGACGACCAGCTGACTGCGGACGAAGAGTTCAGGACTTGGTGTGAAGAAGTCTCTTGTCAAGAGCCGTTCAGAGGTACACTTGAGGATCTACAGGATGATAAGTCCTCGTTGCTTTCCACTCTGGAGCAGTGTACCAAACAGCTAGACACCGAGGAGAGCGTGTGCGAGAAAATGCGTTCCAAATACGGCGCTGACTGGACGCAGCAGCCAAGTTCGCGCCTTACATCGACCCTGCGATCAGATATTAGAAGCTACCGTGAGACCATTGATGAAGCCAGCTCAAGTGACTCTCAGCTCCTGGTTACTCTGCGGCAACATGAGTCCGACTTTGAGGAAATGCGTGCAGCTGGGGAGGCCGGTGAGGCAGACATACTCTTCCAGAAGGCGCTCATTGCAGCTGGCTCGAAGCCAGGTAAAAATGGAGCCACCCCAGGAAGCCCGTATAGCAATAGAGCACCAGAAGGAAACCTTTTGGAGGCAGATTATGGGGAAGGAGGCTTATCTGTAGCTGAACAGATTGCAAAAGTCGAGGAACTGCTTCGGAAATTAAACCTCGTCAAGAGGGACAGAATGCAGACTTTGAAGGATCTGAAGGAGAAGGTGAGTAGTGTATCAAACGGGATAGTTATTTTGCTTCCATGAACATTGTCTAACAACATCGACAGGTTCACAATGACGATATCTCCAACGTTCTCATTCTCAACAAGAAGTCAATCGCAAACCAAGAAGACCAGCTCTTCCAAACAGAGTTGGAAAAGTTCAGACCTCATCAAAACCGACTTCTCCAGGCAAATCATAAACAAAGTGGCCTTATGAAGGAGCTGGCCAAGGTATATGGGGATCTGTTACAGGACAAGCGGGTGAGGGCAGAGAAGTCAAAGTACGAAGTCCTCACCAAGCAGCGCAACGCGGTCATATCCAAGTACAGAAAAGCCCATAAAGCGTTTAACGAACTTCTCAACGGCTTGAGCCAGGCACAAGCGTTCTACATGCAGATGCGAGACACAATTGACAACCTGCAGCAGAACGTTGAGACCTTCCTCAACAACCGGCGGTCCGAGGGAGCCCAGCTGCTCAGCCAAATCGAGCGGGATAAAGCTGCCCAAGCATCGGGCCACGAAGAACGTGAACGGGACAAGCTGAAAAACCTGATGGAGCGGTTATCAGTCGATCCAGCGTCTTCGTCATCTACTCCACCACCTCCGGCACCCAAACGGGCAGCTAACACGGCGAAATCACCTACCCACTCTGGCCTGCCACCACAGCAACCTCCAGCCCGATCCCCTATAACTGCCCAATATCCCCCCTCCACTTCAACCGGTTACCCACCCGTTGCCTACCCAAGCGGCAATGGTATCTCGCCCACCGAAGGCTACGGCTCCCAACAGCCATACACCCAGCACATGAACCCAGAAGCATACAACCCGATGGCCTACCTATATCAACAACCACCGACTTCACCTCCTCCGCTGCAGCAGTATTACGCCAGCCCACCCTCGTATGGTGGCTATCCAGGCTCACCACCCATACCTCAACCCCAGATCCCACCTAGCCATACCCCTCAATATCTACCGCAGGGCTACGTGCCTCCTCCGCCACCACCACGCCACTCCCCAGTACAATATAACTCACCTGGCCAGGGGCTAGGGGGTTATCAGCAACCAACCAGCAATTATCCTCCTAGCCAGCCAGCCCATCGCGCAAACCAACCTTCCCAGTCCCAAAATCAAAATGACCCGTGGGCAGGACTGAATGCATGGAAGTAGGAGTGCAGTGCAGAGCAAGTAGTGGCGTGAAAACACGAATTGAATGAAAAATAAGCAAGAAAAAAAGGGCTAAGACAGAATATATGGAATCCAGGCTCGGGCCACCCAAGGAATCAACCTGGGAAAATGGACGGAGTAAGGTCTTTTTTTTTTTTTTTTAGGATTGAATTACACCTTTTCCACAACTTATTTACTTATAAAATTTCTTCTGCATCTATCCATTTCGAAATAGCATTCCGTTTAAGTCGATATGTTTCGTCTTGTGTTTATATAAAAGGGGAGAGAGGCGGTAGACATATAGAATTACGCAATAGCAACACCGTTTCCTGCCTTTTGGTATATTTGATTTTCTCTCTATCAAATGAGACCTCGAGGTACTCAATTATTCTTCATGCTATACAGACGGAGGAAATCTTTCGCTTGCACGGGTATCTATCAAGTAGGTAACAGTAAGCAGGTAACATTATCCTTCCGTTCAGTCATCCGACATCCTAGGGTATTCTACCCAGAAATTTCAAATGAATCAGGGCAATTGTCAAAGTCTGCCACTACACTATAAGGCTGGAACCGGAGCCGGAACTCCTTTCCCCTCCTCTCCTCGTTGACTTTATACAGAAACCGAGCAATGGCATCCTGCTCCGAAATAGCCGTGTTGTTGAAGTGTTTCCGCACAGCAGAGGCAAGCTGGGCCTTCGACACTCGTCCCTGTGCTGGAGTCGAGAGACGATGAAGCACCTTGTCCTGCCGTCCCGTATTATTAGAAGCTTCCTGTCTCGATTTGACGTCCGTGTCAGTATCGATCTGCATGCTGTCATCGTGTTGTTGCCGGTCAGACTGTAACTGCTGCAGCAACTGTTTGCGTCTGATGGAAATGGCTGTTGCAGAACCCAGGCCGGGCCCCTGTGAGAGGAGGATGGAGTTTATCTGTGAGGAGAACGCGCTGGGACAGGGAAGGTTATATGCGTAGCGGTATTCGTGGAGTACGGACAAGGGCATGGTGCTCCAGTTTATCTGTTATTTCGCTGCGGTTAGAGCTTGTTCCATGAGAGTCTGGATGGATGGTGGGATCCAAAAAAAAAGAAGATGGACGTACAGAGACCTGGGACTCGACGGTGCCACTCTCGTCCATGCGTTGATCTGCAGCAGGGGCCTTGCCTTCTTTCAACGTTGCATTCGAGCCCGTGCTGGGAGCAGAGGTGGTGGCTGCTGCGGATTTGCGGCCCTTGGTGGTGCCCTGGCGCTCGCGCGTGCTGGACGCTTCTGACCGCGAGTCGTCTGGGACAGCATCGGCGGCGGCAGCAGCAGAGGTAGGAGCAGCAGATGCACCAGCAGAGACAGCACCAGCACCAGCCGAGGTAGCAGTCGTGGACACGGGACGCTGGCGGGGAGGAGCCATGAGGGTTATGGGGAATTTCGAACAAGACCGCGGATTGCGGTATTTACAGAGAGCGGAAGAAGGGGGACTCTGCAGGGGTCACGGTCGAGCGAGGGCCGGCGTGGTAATTGGAGCGTAGGGAGCGAAGAGACGGAGGGCTAGCGAGAGGCAGAGGCGCAGAAGCAAGCATGTCCGGCAAAAAGCTGGCTGTCGAGATGTCAAAAGCCGGCGTCGCTGTCGACGGTTTTCTTTCAGTTTTTATTTTTTTTTTTCTTTTTTTACCTTTTATTTAAGGTTTCGATGACGATTTGACTTTCGGATTCGCGTGGGGTGATTAGTAAGCTTACTAATAAACGCTGTGCCAAAGTTTTGTTCAAAATGAATATTTTGTTGGAGCCAGCGGGGAGTTTGGCCGGCGTCTTGGATATACACCTCCTTTACTATCTCTCTAAGAGTCAATTACGGATGCCTAGTGACACTCATTGCTAATGAAGCTGCACCGTTCAAGTCTGACATGGCATCATTCCGTGGATTTCGGCTTCGTTATCTGTAGGCCAACGGTCTCATAATTGAGAATGATCGCCGTGGCTGGTCTAAAATTGTGTTGGCACGGCTTAACACGGCTGCCATCCAGCCTTCTCGCGAGGATTGGTTAAGATATAGTGACTATTAACCCACAGGCATCAGCCATAACTAATGAGCAGAGGTTTGTCATTAGCCACAGCAAGATCTACCTTAGCTACTCAGTTGTGAATTCAATAGTTAGCTCTCCAAGTAGTCCAGCAGATATGGGTATCATGACTGAAAAAGCAGTCACAGTAGCGGAATTGGGAAAGGATTCTCTCAGAAGCAAGATATAAAAAGGGTCTGGTTATCACCATGATCATGATGTTGGATTCTAAGTGCTATTCTTCTAATAACTACATATATCTATTTTCCAACTGAACCGATTCAAGATGAAATTTCTAATTATCCTCGCCACTCTTCTTGCTGTCGTACAAGCGAATTTTCCGAAGGAGTTCTTTCAGCAACTTAAATGCGCGGCCCCGTGTGTACTTCGCAGTTTCAAAAAAATACCTTGCAGTGGGAAGCCTGTTCTCTTGACCATCTGTGATAATGTCGAACGTATAGAACGCTCGGCGGCGAAGTGTATTGTTCAGAAGAACTGTAATATTGACAGAGGGTTGAGTAAGTCCTCCTCCTTAAATCGAATATGACATCATATTAGTGAATTAACCGTGATTTATAGTCACGCTGGTGGCCGACAAGTTTAAGGAAACGTGTCCGAAGAAGGATGGAAATGAGAGTGGGAATGAGAGTGGCTGAGAGGGGCTATAGCTATTGTCTGGAACTGTGATCATCGCAAGAGGGCAAGCTTTTCGATGCGAGATTTAGTGCTGTGTGGTTGTTTGGAGATGCTTTGTAATGCCAGGTATAGAGGAAGGAAAGACCAGGAACTGATCACTTGTCTGTCCATTCGTCAATTACTCTGATAACCGCCTAATTGCTCAGATGCCACCGTCCAACTACTCTGCTTACCCATACCACCCAACCTATCTTCCTAACTACATGCAGTAAAGCTCAATTCTTAGGGTAATATGTTTTGTATGTGTTCTGCATTATCCTGAAGCCTGCCAATGCCAATGGCACTTAGATGACAACAGGAGACTGAATCAAACAGTTATATAGTACTTCATGGGAGGCACAAGTTGATCATCATCAGTGTAGAGATATTTTGAATAGTAATTATCTCTATAGATAGTATTTAGAATAACACTTTAATAAGCATAATAAGTGAAGACCTTATTACTAGCTAATAATATAACTTACCTTTAATAATAGAATTATATAGTTAAACTACCACCTTTCTACGTGTTTATTATGTAACTTTACTTCTACTCACGATGACTACCATTCACTGGGAGCTATTCAATAGGCACTGCGCCAACGAAGGTATATTCGATAATCAAACGGCTGTTGGTAAGAATAAGAATAACAATCAATAACGGGATGGTACAAGCTGGTTGTCTACTGATCATGTTTTTCAATGTTCGGATCTGGGACCCCACAGTTGCTTTCAACGTAATCCCTGATCCACTCGCACACGCGCGCATGCTTTAGAAACTCGCTCTCTGGGGTGAGATATGGGTAGGTCGTCGTGTTCATGCATGCATCGCAATAGAAGCCCCAGTCAACCGTCCCATCCGGCAGCAGGTATGGTAATCGTATGGATGACATGTTGCAGTAGCTGTTGCTCTCCTGACTTAACCATACCGGATAACCCGTGGGCGGAATGCGGGATTCATATCTAGGCTGTTCTGGTACAACGTCGTTTCTCGTCTCGGGGCCAAATTTACAGAAACAGGATTGAACCATAGGAAGAGGGGAAGAATGCCCACATTCTCTCCCGAGGCAAGTGATCATGTCAAAGACCAAAAGTGTGCCGTTGCTCCTTGCAAGGTTCACTGCCTCCCTGAGCGATATGAGGCGCAGATCTTCACCTGGCTCCACACGAGGAGAAAAGCACTTGTCTGGGATGGCTGTCATTGCAGTTAGACCTCTCATCTCCTCGTAGGGAAAACAGAGTTCTTGCTCCATATCGTCGATGGGAAGCGCCCAAAAGTTCTGGTTCATGTTCAAGCATGCAGAGCAGCATCTCTCGCCTGTTAGAAGGAATATGTATCCGCCAAATTCTCCGCATTCGGGGCAGTCGCGGGTGCGCAAAATCTTATAGAGTCTCTGCACCGTGTACTCGCTTTGAAGACCAGTTCGGCGAATCACGTCAAGGGTATACGGTACGTGCGTTACAATAGCATGGTACAGCGGCAAGGCGTTGACAGCAACGTTTCCGCCTCTAGATACGTGTCGGAGATCAGATAGCGATTTGAGGTCGAGCATATATAGGATCTCATGGAGGAGCTCTACGGGTAGTCGGTCAAGGGTGCCTATAGATAGTTTATCGGGGCGGGGCTCTGGGGTAAAGAATTCTGGTTTGCCAAAGTTGATACGGCATGGGTCTATCTCACGGGAAGCAAACTTCCTGAGTAGATACTCATCGGATGCATTCACACTCATGATGACTACATGAATCTGAAGGGGGTATAATATAGATAATATTTGATGGCCGATGTGATGAATTAGAATATGAAAAAAAAAAATAATAGCTGAGGAAGAAAGCCCAAAAGTAAACAAAAGTAAGGTTTTGAGCCTCCATTTAGAGTTCGTACCGCATCCCGTTCAGCCCTGAAAAAGGAAAGCGCGATGTGTTAATCACTCTTTCCCCGGGAGTGTTGAACACCTTTGCACCTTCCTCGTATATCATGTTTGGGGTTTTCATCCCATCTTAGAAGGCGCTACTGCATACATCCCCTCTTTTGTTGCCCCAGCAGGACTTTGCAGGATCCGATAAACACAGACTCATAGATCGCATCCTCGGGTAGTTATTTGAGTCGGGAGATAGTCAACTGGATATAGAGCTACCCTCTATTCACCATCTTGAAACATTTAAGCGGCAGGCCAGCAGCGCGTGAGACCTGAAAAAAAGCGGGGTATCTTGGAAGAGGAAAAGCTATAGCCACTCTAACTGAACTCTCTGTTGAGCTGAGATCAGTTTCGTCGATGGTGATTATTCCTGTCCTGTGTCGAGATAACAGATATGCACAGGGCCATAACGAGATAACTAGGTAGCCAAGTCAATGGCTGGGGGGCAAGGAACAGCCGCCCAGGTTCCGGTTTGTCGATGAAACCTGTCTTCCCAATATGGCATTGAGAAGCAGAAACGAGGCGAACTTCGACGACTCTCGGCAACTTCCAAGAGACGTCCAAGAAGAAGAAGACAAGTTCTTATCTTGACGGTACGTCCTGAAATAAGACGCCGGGATAAAAACGCTGAGATTGGTGGAGATTCCGGAGGGCCAGGCAACGAATTACCAAAAGTAGCAATCCAGGGGAAAGACGACCCTTTTTTTGGTCGCAGGAAATGCCAGAAAAAAGAAACATGCGCGCTCAGACGCAGATGCATATCTTGTCACAACATACATGAGTAGAGAGCTGCAGTGCATCACCAAGAAGACGAAGAATGATAATGATACCTAATGAGGGAGGCCAAGGCCGGAATGCAAGTACTGTTTTTTTTTTTTTGTTTTCCCCCGCCCGTCCGTCATGCATGCATGCAGTTACAACTCGTTTCAGACAGCTCTTTTTTATGCAGGTTGAGTGTCAGCAATGCAACTAGTTAACTAGTTAGCAGGCTATTGCGGACGGAGTACTCAAGAGAGCTGCCGAGCGGAGGGGAAAGGAGGAAAGCGGGAAACGGTGATGCGATGGATGCGTCAACGTCAACGTCAAAACCAAAAAGAAAAAAACAAGAAAGTCAACTGCTTTTCCGATGTGATGGTTTAGAGGATACCAGTATCAGGGAACAGGACGTGGATGGAGGTATCCGGGGAGGATAGTTAGTGTTTGTGCAACCATGGCAGCCAGGCTTGCACTGGACTGGTGGAGGATCACATGAATGTGCCTAAACGCATCACTGTTAACGTTAGTTGAATAATAGGCTCGAATGTAGCATATGAAGACCCGAAGAAGATGCGATGTTGAGTCGAGGCGGGAGTCTAGCCCTGCTGCGGAATCAGAGAGGGAGAGAGAGAGAAAGAGAGAGAGAAAGAGAGAGAGAGATAGAGAGAGGGAGAGGGAGAAGGGGAGGAGAGTCTGGTATCTGGTATGTAGGTAAGGTACCTCTCCTGTTGAATATCCAGGAATATGCAAGTTCCACAAGGCCAGTCGACCGACGTCCAGGCCGAGGCCAGTTGTGAGTTAGGTGTTGACTCGGAGAAGACAGATAGGTACCTTAAACCAGCTGACGAAGTGAATATCCTGACGGTTTGGAGGAGTGAGCTTCTAATGTGATGAGTTGAGTGACGGAGTAAAAGAAGAAGAAGAAGCTGATGATGATGATCCACCGCGGCTCTAGAGATAGCCCACGGGAAAGGGGGTGCGAGATGCCAGTCCCATTCAGTCCCAGCCAGCCCCCCCCATGGGCAAGCTGCTGTATACTGCTTAGCTTTCCATGCTATACTCTTCGTTGGATGACTAGTTAGCTTTCCCATGCATCTGACTAACTTAGTTGACTAGTTAACTAGCTTCCCAAGTCCGTCCTCCGTTGGAAGAGCGGATGCTCTGTGGTACATAAGTAACTAGTAGCTGTAGGGAAGGTTGAATCTAGCTCTGGGGGGATTGGAGAGCTTCCGGAGCAGCGAGATGCAGGCACTGCTTCTTCCTTTTTTCGGTCTTGCAGATAGAAAGGGGAGAGGGAGAGGAGGGAAGAGGGGGGGGGAGAAACATTGGTTTCCCGACGGGAATGTCTGGACCAAAGGCAGGCTGAGCGATCAGAGGATGGAAGGTGTACTTAAAGTAGTGCTTCATGTGTTGTTATGTCCATGACGTAACGGATATAACTTACTATATAGAGAGTGTAGAGGAGAGGACTATAGGTGACTTGTGCACAGGGATGGGATACTTTCGGCTGCATGCTTTTTCTCCGTATAGTTAGTACGGAGAAGTTAGCAAGCTAACTAGTGTAGTTACTGGGGGGGAAACTGAAGAATTGGCCCTCCAGTCGACCGTGTTCCGCGTTCATGCAGGGAGGAGGAGGAGGTGGTGGAGGAGGAAGGAGGAGGAACTAACTAATGATGCCCGTCAGAGCGACACCCTTGTCCTATCAAAAACCTAAGCAAGAGGAGAGGGTATGGGGGAAAACGAAGAGGGTATAGATATGCGGGTTGTCAAGCGGAACAAACAAGCGCTAGTAACAGTAGTAGATGCATATATGCAGTGACAGGAGTGTAGTCATATCCGGCTATTGAAGACCATGACCATGACCATGACCATGACCATGACCATGACCATGACCTTGGCCTTGACCTTGGACTCTTTTTGACGGGTCTGGAGGTCTAGAGTCTGCATCGTACGACAATGGCAGGGCTCATCTAGACCAACTCTGATAAGCCAGTCAGCGTATGTCGATATGATAAGTACAAGTTCCATGGAGGAGTACCCGATAACACCCATCGTTATAGACGAAGGGTCCCTGACGGAAGAGAGGGAGGCGGCAGCAGTCAGCAGTACTTGGTGATGGAGAGAGAGATGACCCCCCCTCGTCCGGGACTGGCTGCGGAGAACGCCGGTCCCTTGCATGCCCTGTCGGAAGAAGCGAAGACACTCTTTTTCTTTTCTTTTCTTTTCTTTCTTTTTTTTTTAAACAGACTAGTCGGCCTAGCTAGAGATCTGCTGGCGATGGACGATCAGGGAGATGAAGAGCGAAGAGACGAGGCGAAAGAGATGACTGGAGAGATGGAGACGGAGATGTATGGAATGGAGAGATGGAGAGATGGAGAAGTATGGAGTAGCCAGGAGGCTTGCTGTCGAAGTGGCGAGTGTCCTTTGCGAAATGAGCTCTCGTCTTGTCTCTCGTCTTGTCTTCTTGACCAGACTTCTTGTCTTCTCTTACTCCGTATTCTCTGTCTGTCTGCCAGTATCTGCCAGTATCTGTCATGCCGAGGACGACTGCAGTACCACCGACCAGTTCATTAGCCGACGACTAACTTCTACCAAGTTAACTTCCACTGGTACGGGGAAATCAACCCTTGTTGTTATTATAATAAGTAATAGTAGGCATTAAAGTAATATTAGGTATGGATGTAACTGTCACTTCGGTAGCAGCGGCCGACCGGAAGGCCGCCCCGGGTGATCTCGAGCCTTAGGGCTTGCTTGGTCTGTCGTCTGTCTGTCTGTCTATCGCTTTTATCGCCATCGCCGTCATCTCCCGACTTCCGTCCTCCCGGCCTTGGCCATCAAGGTAGACAAGACCATCCCGTCTAATTACAACACAGCCCAAGCCCAAGCCCAAGAGACAAGACTACGGAGAACCAGGCACCGGCCATGCTAGTTGACGCGGTGGAAGACATGATGCAGTTGCGCTGACGAGAGCCTAGTGAGAGATGTCCGTGCCTGATGCATGTGTCAGGGAGTGGCGTGGCTGGGGAAGAAAGCGACTTTTCTTTTCTTCCCCGGATCATCTCAGCGTAGATGTAGATAAGAGAATAAGAGAGTAAGAGAGAGAAAGAGAGAGAGAGAGAGAGAGAGAGAGAGAGAGAGAGAGGGTGATGAGCCGAGGTCGTTTCAGTGGGCGATCCAGAAAAGGGGTCGAGGAAGGCAAAGACAAGGACGGAAAAGCAAAAAGGCAAAGGAAAAGCCCAAGAAGGAGACAAGGGGAAAGATGGAGCTGGAGATGGAGCTGGAGAAGATGGATGGAGAGACGACAAGGAGACTCCGCGTGGCCTGAGGGTGGCGAGAAGGAAGACTCTGAGACTACAGCGAAGAGCAGAGGAAGAAGAAGAAGAAGAAGAGACCAGTCGGAGGAGCCAAGGACGACCTCGTGGGCTGCAGCAGCGCAGGTGGCAGCCGAAGGGCGCAAGAGAGTAAGAGTAAGAGTGAGAGCGAGAGTGAGAGTGAGAGTGAATGTTTGTTAGGCCAGAGTTGAGGAGAGCGAGGAGGATCGTTTCTGTGTGGGGTTTTTTTGGGTGCGCTGGAGGGGAAGAAGAAGCTCTGCTTTTTTCTTATTTCTTTTTCTTTTTTCTCTTTTTTGCTCTATTTTTTTCTTTTCTTTTCTTTTTCTGCGTTTCTCTTTTTTTTTTTTTTTTTTTTTTTTTTCGTCTTTTTTTCGTCCTTTTTTCGTGGCTTCTTCGTCGTCGACTTTTTGGCCGCTGAAAAGGCCTTCTTCTCCCTCGACTCCCTACGCTTTTACTCCTAGTCTTACTACTTGACTCTGCTCTGCTAGT